GTATTTTTATCAGACCCTCCTTGTCCCTGCCCAGCAGCTCAGTGTAACAATCCATGTTTTCTTTCAGTCCTTCAAGTTCAGTGAACCTTTCTTCCTTTAAAATGTTTTCCTTCTTAATGTCCATTTGAAGTGGTTTGTTCATGTTCAACACAAATGTTCTCTGCTGCTCATCTGAAGGTATTTCTTCTTTTATTTCACTTGTCATCTGCTCTTCTGTTTTTTGATTTTTACCACAATGGGCCTCCTCCTTTTTTTCCTTTGATTGGTCTGTCTGGGTTTGCACCATTTTCCTTTTGGTTTCTGGAATTTCTAATTCCTTTTCACTGTCAGTAATGTACAGCAGCCTCTTCATTTGTCTTTGAGTTTTGTCTTGTTTCTGTTGTTCAACTTTGAGGATTGACCTCTGCAATTTAAGAAACTTAGTTTCTATCAAGACAAACTCTTCTGATTTCTCTGCACCTTCCTCCTTGTCTTTTTCTATTGCTTTAATTTCTTCACTAAAATGAACTTCCACTTGCTCCAAATTTCTTTGCTTTTGCTGAATGCCCTTTAATAGACACATCATCATGTCCTTTTGTCTTTTTATCTCCTTCCTGGTAATTTCCACTTCCTCCTTTGCCTGGATAATGATTTCTGCCTGGACCTTGATTTGTTGATTTCCATTTTTTATTGCTTCATGCAAACCTTCACTGTCTTTCTTCATGTGTTTACACCTCTCCATACATATGTTAATTAGTTCCCAATGCCTTTGACTATTATTTTCAGCATTTGTGGTGCATGATGCCTTCAGCTGCTCTGCCACGCTTTTGCTATCATCCTTTCCTCTTTGCATCTTCATAATTTCTAGTTCATCTCTCTCTCTGATAATCCTCTCCAACTGCTGGTCAAGCTCTTTCTTCCTCCTCCGTACCTCCCTCTTGAGGATATCTTTTTCTTCTTTTACCTCTGCCCACATTTTTCTTACTTCCTGATCTTTTCGAATGCCTTTTCGTATCATTTGTTGATTTTCTCTTTTTGTGATGTCCAACTCAGTATTCAACACTTCCATCTCTCTTCGTTCTCTTTTAACATTCTGTAGTCCGACATCAAGGTCATATTTTTGTTTTTGCACATCATCCTTCATTTGGACAATTTGATTCATCTCTGTCTCCACTTGTACAGCCAGTTTTTTAAAGGCCAGCTTTATCTGAGATTTTACTTTGACCATGTTATCTCTTATGGTTCTGTTCTCACCCTGTAATGCTTTGAGCCCTTCTCTTTGTTTCACTAAGTTAACATTCACATTTTCCAGAATTCCCTTTACCTTATCCAAAAGAAGGTTAATCTTTTGTCTCATGGTTTGGGGGTCAATGACCTCTGATGCTTGATGTATCATTTCAGCTTTCTCCTTGTTGCTTCTCACCTGCTTCTCCACAGCAAGCTCTTCCTTCTGTTGTTGCAGTTTTATCCTCAGCACTTCCAATTCATCTCTCTCTCTCATGGTTTTCTCAAGTCTTTGGTCTAATTCTCTTCTTTTCTTACTTGTCTCTCTCCTCAGTAATTCCTTTTCTCTTTGCAGTTTATTCAACAAGTTTTCACTCTCCTCTTTTTTTCTCATGCTTTTTCTAAGCATCTGTTCACATTCTTTTCTCTTTATTTCCACTTCTGACTTCAGCAGCTCCATTTCTCGTATTTCTCTTTTGGCTATTTGCGCTCTGTCTTCAAGCTCCTGTGTCTGTCTTTTGATTGACTCCCTTAAACAGTTAATCTCATGTATTTCTATCTCACCTAATTCTACTTGAATCTGTAGTCTCTGCATCTCTTCTTCACTAATTGAATTTTGGAATTCTTCAGTTCCACTGTTTCTCTGATCCATACTGTTCATTGTCAGCGTTACGTCCGTCTCTGGTTTTTCCTTATCTGATTGGAGTCCTAAGATTTCCATTTCCTCCATTTCTTTTCGCATTCTTATCTTTGTCAGTTTGTCCCTTTCTGTGTTGGTTTCAGCACTGTTAAATTTCTTCTCAGTGTTTTCCAAGGCATATTCTCCATCAGTTTTCTGCTTGATTTTATTAATACATTTTTCAAGCTCAGCTCTCTGCTGGGATATTAAAAGATAACTGCTTTCCAGATTGTGTTTTGTGGCTTCAAACTTGTAGTTAAGGGCTTCTAACTTTCTCAGATTTACTTCAGTCTCCTTTATGTTAATCTTTATATCTTCATTTTTAATTCTGATATTAACAGTCGATTTCTCTACAATGTTCTTTACTTTTACCATTTTCTTCATCTTCTCACTGATCACATCAGTCTGTTTCTGCATTTTTATTTTTAAAAGATCCAATTTCTCTCTCTCTCTCAAGGTTTTCTCTTGCAGCTGATCCAGTTCTCTCTTCTGTTTCTTTGCAGCAGTTTTCACTGATTTCATGTCACTCATTTCTTCTTTCAGATGTATTTCAGAACCTCCATCCTTCCCCCCATTATGTGTCAGTGGATCTGTTTTTGATTCCTGATTTTGTTTTTGCTTTTCAATATCCAGTATCATAAAGTCTGACTCATCCGTTGCTTCTTGTACACTTTTCCTGAATGTCATTGTTAATCCGATTTCTGGTCTCTGGCTCTGCGGTTCATATATATCCATAATGAGCCTTTCAATCTCTTGATTCTTTTTCTCCATGTTCTCCATAGCATTCTGTATTTGTTCTTTGATTCTCTCCTCTCTCTCCTTGAATTTGCACATCTGCCTCTCCACTTCTTCCATTTGTCTAACATTCATTAAGTATTCTGAAAACTCATCATCTGTTAATGTTTCTTCATGTTTTTCTGTCTGTATGAAAATGTCTAATGAAAAAAACTGTCCCTGTTTAATTTCTTCATTTTGATGCTGGTCTTCTAATGTAGGAGACTGTTGCAAAGACATGGTTCCTTGTGTAATTTCACCTGCATCTCTTTCTTCATCTGGTGAGATTTCCAGTGTTTGATCTTGAAGGGAATCTCCGCGACTTTTTTTATGGGGTTCTGGGAGTTTGGATGAATTTGTAGAAAAAGTCTTTTTGATTGCAGATTCTGCCAGTATCCATCTACTGACACAGGTTTTCAAGGAACTCAGCTTATCCTTAACAAAAAGAAACAATTCTTATTTTGTTATGGTTTAGGTTCAGCTAGGTTCTTATCTACTATTATTACTTTTTAACCTGTTAATTTTTTTTTGCTGATGAAATTGTACGTTCCCTAATCATTTAACTTAGTGCCATGTGCCAATGGCAGGCAGCCCAGTGAAGTATTCACAGATTTGAAGTCAAAATGGT